GGCCAACACATGGCCGTGTGAATCTCGTGTCTGCCTGTGCAACTCCCAAACGCCACGTTCCACTTAATTGGTCGAAGGGGGTTACACGACCATGTAGAATTGAGCCCAACCCTTGCAGAAGTTCTGGAAAACACGCACGACTTGTGGAGCACCTTGAACGACCCATACGCCTCTGACCGCGTGATGTCAGGTTCACGGCCACAACGCACGACCGTGTAGACACACATACAGACCGTGCATTTTCCTCATATTCTCGCCGAACATCCTAACATCGTCCAATCGACCCCGAACTCGTGCACAAACCTTCATTCACGTACTAGGACCTGAAATATTACAAACAAGAACAACCTAGCGTGAAATCGGCTTAAAACACGAGAATTGAGCCTCAAATAGTGTAGACATGGTGGGCAAAACATGTGTAAATATCGAGTTATCAAATTCCCCACACTTAATTGTTTGCTTGTCCCCAAGCAAACCAAGTCAGATACAAGGCAACTTATCAGATTTTCCATTAAAACACTTTTGGGGACATGACATATGGCACAAAACACTTTGATCTCAATAGACAACTAGTACCAATTCATAAACAACAACAAGAACAACAACCTCAATGACCATGCAGATGACAACCGATCGCAGCAAGATTATGCAAAGGAAGAGTCTATCTACTGTTCACAAACCAAAGCGTGATAGAACTCGTCTACTCACAATCACAGTCAACCATGCATAGAGTTCAAGCCACTAGAATCGTAGACTGAGCAATCAAGGTCCTAACCAAGATATAAAATACAAGGAAATGCATTGCTCACTCTCGACTGGTGGGGCCAGGACAATTTGATGTGAAAAATGTGCATGCTCATTCTCTCAATCCTAACATATCTTCGCCATGATGGCAACCTCTAAATGCTAGAGTTCACAAATCGGGTGTCACCACTAACTAGTTAGGAGGTCTTAGACACAAGTTCTGATGACTGGTTAGGGTCTTGGACATGGGGGAAAAGCCTTTTAGGTGGTGGAAGAATTCATAACACAAGGCTCCACAGTTCCAAAACCAAACATAACGACATCTATTCAACCCAATTACTTTCTTTATGCTATTCTGCATTAATCAAGTTCTTTAGAGTATAAGAGTGAAGAAGGTAACAACATGTAAGTATTTCCAAGCCAGTCCGCCAAGAAACACTATTTTATGAGCATGATTAAAATTTTTGTGGTGGCTCTATTTTGCTTTCATTTGTTTCCCTTTTTTTTTCTTCCTTTTCTTGAGAGAACCACCACTTCTTCACATTCTTTTATCCTTGCAAGCACACACCCAATTTTTAAGAACTACCTCCAACCCTCGTCTTATTTCCATAAGAAAATAGTAGAAAACATGCAAAAACCACTCTGTGGAACTTTAAAGAGATGGAAAAAGGTAATTTTTCATTGTAGACACAAAGAAAGAAAGTTATACGGCTCAAAGGGGCTGACTAGGGGGTATAACACACCAGGACAGACAATTTGATCATGGGTTAATCCTATGACTCCATCATCCTAATTAGTGACAACATGAATGCTACACATCATGGAAGAGGGATCTATCGCACAAGAAAGAAACGAGCAGGCTAAAATCTCACATGGCTACCTATATGCTCTATCTCTCATTCTGATTTCCTGAACTAGATGCATAGAAAACTGTAGATTGCGAGTAAACGATCCATGTCACAAGTTGGTTCAAAACAGAAGCAAGATTGAACCTCTACACAATCCTACTACGAATCTAGTCATCATTACGGTCATTTTAGTCATAAACAAGTCATCCATGCATCAATACCAATTGTCATAAGATATAACCAAAAACACACCAGTGCCAATATGTTCATGCAAATGGAGAAAAACTGCTTGGAGCCCTTAAATTTTTAATTTGGACAGTGGACTAGGCTCTAAGCACATACATTGTAAGCCCGATACACACAAAGCACCCTCCCCCCTCCCCCCCCCCCCCCAACACTTAAGATCGACATTGCCTTCGATGGAGTAGAGGGAAAACAGTAGGGGAACGGTGTTACCGGGAAAAAGGACGACAACAGGAACAGACTGGAGCAAGGACCAGTTAGCAAAAACATGAGAGTGGAGAGGGACCAGACGCCAAACACAAAAAAAAAACACACAAAACCAACCAGTAGACCATGAAACGTTAGAGATAGATATCACCCCAAATGGGCACAAAAAGAAAAAAGCAAAAAGAAACCAAACACACAAACTACGCAGTTCAAGCTCCACACACACATGGAGCAAACACAACACAAAAGATACAAAAGAACAAATGGAGGGAGCCGACGAGTACAGCCTAGTCGTCGCCGATGCTGTCGAAGTTGATGTCTCTCATGTAGTCATCGTCACTTGGCGGTGGAGGTGGTGGATGTGGGTGATGCAGTGGTGAGTCATCCCAGGGGTCTGCCACTCTAGAAGGTCGCCCAAAACTTGGCGAAGCAAACGCTCTTGAACCTCCTGCATACTGCGGACCCGATCACGGTCACGCTCGATATGAGCGAGGGTGACGCTCAACTGAGCATCTATGTGACCAAGACGCTCGTCATAAGTTGCCATGCGGGAGGTGTACTCGCATGATGGCCATCATACTGCTGCTGAAAGCGGACTTGATGGTCCATGATTTGCTGATTTTGGATACTCAGTTGCTGAAACTGGAGACCCATATGCTCAAACTGGTGGGAAAAGTAATCATGTTATCCCCATGCTCAAAGGTACTTTGGTGGAATGTCTGGTGGGTAGCAGCGGCGTCCCCATCCCTAGTCTCAGCATCCTGATCCACCTCAATCAGGTGAGGGATGGCCAGTACGGGCAGTCCGTCAACCCACTTGACTTCGTGTGACTCCTACAGCAGCCGCATCTTGGAAACTGTGTCCACTCCAAAAGGCCATGTCCTGCCCTGCTCGATGCAATCCTGGTAATCTGGTGGATTTGCGTTGGAAGGATCAATGTAGATTTTGGCTACTTTCCCCTCTGTTTTCAGCTGATTTGTTGTTGTTTTGCTGTGAGCTCGCTACTATTGTTATTGCATGTTCACTAGTTTGCTTCTGATGTCCGGTTATAGAATATAGGGTGCTGGAATAGTTGTTGGCAGTAAGTAGAAACCCATAGCACAATTCAAGAATCATAAAATGAGCCGCAAATCGAAACAAAGTTAAGCCATGGCGAAAGTGTGGAGAGAGGGGTAAGCTATTAAGGTGCATAGTGGTATTTTAGTTTATATGTGGTAGAATACCACATGTTAAATAACTCGTTTGGACTCTTCAGCCAAACGAGTTATTTGAAATCAATTAACACACAAATACCACAATCACAAATAATGAGTTATTTCGTACCAAATACCACACCTCAACAAATAATTCATCCAAGCGCCCCCAAAAGTGTTATGCACTCTATTTATGGACCAATTGGATGGCATGAGTAGGACTGGAAATTTGGTACCAGTATTTGAGATATACCGAATATCGTACCGAATTTATCACTATTTGGTATTATCGAATACTGAGTTATTTTTTAGGGATTGAGATTCATTTGGAGTGCTATTTGGCATTCGGGATTGAGATAGTTGTATATCGAAATACTGAGAAACAACAAAAATTGAAAATTAATGAAATATAGCACACAAACTTTGGTCATTCTTCACTCTTCCGCAGCTCACAAGCCCCCATCCAACTCAATTTCGGATTTCCAGCTTAAGTCACTCTCGTTTCTCACTAATCTGTTGTTATTTTCATTACTAAAAAAGCAAACACTAGTATTAGTCGTCTCTCAGCTTCCAATCCGTCGAATTAAAGATTACCAATGACAAAAACTTGAGATGTCACATCTTCTTCTTTCTCCTTATCCATGTCCTAACTCTGAACAAACTCAAGACCGTTTACCAAGTTTTTTGCCTTAAATTAGTCAATCAAATATAATCTATATATTTAATTATTAATTACAAAGGTAATTAATTTCGTATTCGATAATATCAAATGTGAGAACGGAACAATTAGGAATTGAGATTGAAATACCAAAATTATTTAGGTATTGAAAATAAAATTGATTTTAGAGTGTATTTCGATATTCGAAATATCAATATTTGGGAACGAGATACCAATACTGTACCGATTTCCACCCTAGTCACTAGTAATCCACTTGTTTGGTACACGTTGGACCGTTGAAATATCAATATTTGGGAACGAAATACCAATACTGTACCGATTTCCACCCTAGTCACTAGTAAGTAGGGATGGCAACAAAACCCGAACCCGCGGGTACCCACCCGACCCAACCCGGTCAACGCGGGTAAAACTCGTGTTGACGGGTTTTGGGCCGGGTTCGGGTTTAAACCCGCTACACTATTCACCGGGTCGGGTTGGGTTTGGGTTTAGGTAAACCCGCCCCATGGGTACCCGCTCACACACATGTAATTACTTTTTCAGTATATTTAATATTCTAAATAATATATCTTCCTTAAACAACTAATATTCTTTATGTTTGTGGAGACATGTATAATTTGTTCTTTCTAATTGTTTAGAATGAAGTTGATAGAGTGAAGTGGAGAGTGAAGAAACTTAGTTGACGAGGAAGAAGCTTTCAATTAATATTATTGTTTATAGATGTTTATCTTTAATTTTGAACAATTTGTATTGATCATTTGCGGTTTGTTTGTATGCTCTAGATTAGTGTTTTTTGTATGATTAATTTGTATGAGAAAATTGATGTTAAACTTTTATTTCGAAAGAAACTTGTCATTGTAAATTTTTTACCACAAAAACCCACGAGTACCCATGAACCCGCGAATACCTAGCGGGTTGGGTTGGGTTTGAGTTTTTCAAACCCAACGGGTTTTACCCCGGATTTTTTTTGACGGACAAACCCATGAATTTGGGTTTGACAAAACCCGCCCCAACCCGACTCATTGCCATCCCTACTATTAATCCACTTGTTTGGTACACGTTGGACCGTTATTTTCTATTTGAATTTAATTTAACTATTAGTATTTCTGGAACTGCCTGCTATCCACAAACTCGGTTCGGCGTCGGCCTAAGAGTAAGAGTTGCCTCTTATCTCCATTTCCAAGTTCTTATGGATAGACTCCCATAAATATCAATCCAGAAAAGAAACTCGTCCTCCCTCCGTCCCTCCCCAATCGACTGAGTTGAGAGCCTCTAATCACACGGAAGAATAGAAGGACGCACAAACAGGATAAAGCAAATCCCTTTGGACAAGAAATAGGAAATGGCTACAACATGTAGCACGCGACCATCATCTCTGATGTTAACCTACGCCACCTCCGCCACGCACCCACAAGATCTCAGTCAATCCCTTATCTGTTTCAAGCCCAAAGCTCCGTCTTTCTACTCCTTGGCTTTGAATTCTTGTGTCGTCGGGGAGAGAACATCAGGCAAATGGGTCAATTTCGATGCTCGCAGAGACGCCAAGTTTGGAGGTTTCCGAGTGGTTGTGGCTGCTGTGGCCGCGGAGGCGGAGGTGGCTGACGGAGCGGTGGCAGAAGCTGAAGTGGCGGGAGAGGGAACTGGTGGTGTGCCCAATGCCACTGTAGCTACTACGAAGCCCAAGACCGGAAAGGCTGCATTGCCTTTGAAGAGAGACAGAGTAGGATCCTGTTTACCTTGATATTTCGTCTGCCGATGTTGTTGAATCTTGGTTCCCTATGCCAAAAGAATCCTCCCTGACGTGTGGAAATTCTTGGAAATTGAGTTGTGATCATCAGCTGGAGTTACTCTCTGGTTTTGATATATAATTGGGTTTGGTTACGTTAGTGGATTAGCTTTAATTGCTACTAGAAGTTCTTCATGCTGTGGGAGAAGGCTTAAGCTGATATATTTTTTTTGTTTGTGTCTTCCGTTTGATGGTTTAGTCTGTGATGTGATTTGAGATGTTTTCTTGAAGAGGGTTGCAACTTTGGGGTCGTTCAAAGTTTATCTTGTAATGACAGACTGGTTCAGTGAACTACATGGTCACGACTACACGTCTGTTGTCTGTGTAGGACTGCATTCTTACCCACATCATGCTGCTTGTTTTATCAGAGTATTTGATTGTTGGGGTTAGATGACGTTGCTGTTAAAACTGCTTTTCCACCTTAGACTTGAATTTTCTTGTTTAATCCAGACATCCAGTTAGTATTGATTGTGTGTTAAACCATCTACTTGGTGTACTTTTATTTTTTTGTTTGTTGTTGCTTTCAACATATGACATGACTCCCTTTTGTTGGAAACTGCAGACAAGGTCTAAAAGGTTCTTGGAAATTCAGAAACTGAGGGAGAACAAACAGGAGTATGATGTAAAAACAGCAATATCTTTGCTGATGCAAATGACAAGCACAAAATTTGTAGAAACAGCCGAAGCTCATTTTCGGCTTAACATTGATCCAAAATACAATGATCAACAGCTAAGGGCAACAGTAAGTTTCATTCTCTCTGGATACTGCTATTTTTTCTCTGGCTTACAATATGAGTAAATATTGGTGCAGCCTGTAACTCCACTGTTCCTTTGCAGGTAAACTTGCCTAAAGGAACTGGACAGCCTGTGAAAGTTGCTGTCCTTACACAAGGTTGTTATTCCACACATCTCTATTAGTTATGCTGAAACTTAATGCTGTGTTATTAGCTGTGATTTGTCTTTATCAGAGGTTCCTAAGAACTATTGGATTGGACAGTTAAGGAGAGAATGGTCAAGAAATGAATCAGCTATGTTCATCAATACCATATTCTTGACAATAGTGCTCTCATATCATGTGATACATATCAGTTTTGCTTCTTGACTTCGCTATCAAGGTTTATTTATCGATTCTTTACTTCAATTCTGCTGGCCAGGTGATGTTAGTTGGTCTATGGTATCTAATTTGCTTTTTGAGGTAATGCAAAATTAGTTTCTTGCTGCCATAGCCCACATTTGGAGATGGATAGCCCTTCAATGGGACCAGAAATTACGCTGATTACTGATCTAAGTTAAGGGCTACAGAGATAAGTGTTGTTGTAGGAAAGGAAAATAATGGCTTCACATGTGGCAAGCTGGAAAATTCTAGATAACCAGCTTCCAAGTTGCAGAGTTTTTTTATTTTGATTTTTTAAACAGAGAAACATATCATTCTAGGTGTCACTAACTGATGATGCTTTTTTGAGAGCATATGGAGCAATATCCTACCATACTAAGCATTGCTGGCAATCAGATTTAGAGCATTTTAATGCTCTGTCTTGTTTATGATGACACACAATTCTGACCTGAGGACAGTGTGGTTCTCAAAGAGCGTGATGACGGGTTTGTAAGTCCAATATTCTCAACACTTAATAGGGTGAGGGATGATTTGGGTATCTTACAAGCAATCCTCAAGGCGTGTCTTTGAAATGGATGAGTATACCTGTAGCAGTTATTGCGGGCTGCGAACCTGTCATTTTCTAGCAATGGTGATGATAAGTGTGGCAGGATGGGGGTGGTGAAGAAACTCCAGTGTCTGGTTATTAATGCAAGGGCACTTGTACAAGAAGTTTTGTCCTAGCTGCATAGTTTTGGAAATTTGGAATGCTTGATGCCTTCTATCCTGGACCTGGAAACTGTCCTTGATTCTTTATGCGCTTCAACGTCCATACCCCAGATAATGTGATAAGCTAAAGCAATTTGTTTTTGTGGCGCTCATATTTGTAACTTAAACTGTCTGCAGGTGAGAAGTTCGACGAAGCAAAAAATGCAGGAGCAGATTTGGTTGGCGGGGAAGATCTGATAGAACAAATCAAGGGAGGATTCATGGAATTTGACAAATTGATAGCATCTCCAGATATGATGCCTAAGGTTTTAGTTACTTTATTCATTCAAGGATGAATATAGTTTACTTGCTGTTGTTTAAATCTCGGCTGTTTTCTCAATTCACCTCGATGCGGTGTTATCTTGTCTTGTTCCCTATCACTGCTACTTGCATCAGGTTGCTAGCCTTGGTAGGATCCTGGGACCTAGAGGACTCATGCCAAACCCCAAAGCTGGTACTGTCAGCACCAATATACCTCAGGTACACTCGGCATCCACTTTTTCCTCAACAGACGACTCTTGTTCTTAGTATGCTTGTCCTTGGGTTCTGAACTTTCATGCAACTCGTTTGATTTTCATTTCTTAACTGGTGCAAATGGAAGATAAAAATAATAATTGGATAAAATCAACGTATCTGGTTGTGATTGTCGACTGGCGACTGGGTACATGTTAAACTTATCTGCTGTACTTTATTCAGGCAATAGCTGAATTCAAGAAGGGGAAAGTGGAATATCGAGCAGATAAAACCGGGATTGTTCACATACCATTTGGAAAAGCAGATTTCTCTGAAGATGACCTCCTTGTAAACTTGGTTTCTGCTATTGTAAGTCGCATGATCTCATCCTCATTCCCCCCACTTTCATGCAAGTATTTTCTCTTCATGGGTTGTCGAGGGGTTGACTTATTCTCTACGTCAACCATCTTTTTGCCAGAAATCTGTAGAAGCAAACAAGCCATCGGGTGCAAAAGGAGTTTACTGGAAGAGTGCTCACATATGCTCATCCATGGGTCCTTCCATCAGATTAAACATACGGGACATGCTTGATTACAAGCTTCCATCGAGTGTCTGATCACTGATGAACACCTGTAAATGGTGCGATCAAAACTTCTCTTTATGGGGCTTGAGCTTTGCCAGTTAACGGTTGTTAGAGATGGTAGGTAGATAAGTGAAGCGGCTAGGTAGGCAAGGCAAAGAAACAGTTCACAAAAGAAAGCGTCAGATTGGAGGCTGTTATGTCTTCACTATGCAAGCTACTTGGTCGCTTTCAATCTGCCCCATAGGGAGAGAGCCTTGTGCCTGTTGCTAGTCATATAGGTTATCAGTACTTCATGCACTCCAATTCTTGTGTGATAAACCTTTGCTTATGGCACTGTTTCTCATTTGTTGAATTATATCCCATGTTTCAAAAAAGGCTCATCTTACCTGCTTGTTATGGTTTACTAGAATCAACACCCACGGCTACGCCGCGGGGACTTAATTTGCAACCATATCATCTTCTTAGCAATAGATATGTCAATCAATGGTGTGTCGGTGACTTGAAATGGCAGGAGCAAACATCACACTGAAAACATTACCAAGAAAATACTCAATAGTCTGCCTCAACTACTAAAAAGAAGAGCTTGCACATCAGTTTTTGAATGGAGAACTTAAGATCTGCAGCATCTGAAAAGAAAAAGATATATCTGATTGACAACAAAGGGAAAACATTCTAAATTGCCCATGAAATGTATAGATGTTTGTGTTTATTAACTAAAATGACATTAGTTTTTCAACAATACAATGAAGTAGCAGCAATTTGACGCTCAACTATCCATTTAGCAGTAACAACATCAACAATAAAACCGAAACGCTTTACTTCAACAACATCGTCACCAAGTGCAGCTTTAGAGGACACAACCGATAGAGCTTCCATTGAATCCACCTTCCACTTGAAAGCTACTTGGGCCAGAATTCGAACACGTGCACTTGGATGGTCAAATAACAAACAACACCAGGGCCAACTTCAGATGTATTAGCAACATATGTAGCCGAGGAAAATTATGGTGGGGATGGAAGGGAAAATAACAATGAGAAACAGCATGGTGGTGGTAGGTTCGCTAGGGCAAGCAAATAAAACATACAAAATGATGGACGATAAGAACCTGGTCTGTGAGAATAGCTAAAGTGGATATTTGACAGGATAAGGAGATGCACAACAACATTACCATCCAAGTGCCAACCCATATATAATCTGACTTCCGAATCCTTTGAACAAACAATTCTCAGAAGGAAACAAAGGGATATAAATGAGAAAGTACATACGAAACTTAGAGTAAACCAAATTAACGCGCAATCAAAGTTCATCCGTCTGAGGTCAAAACTCAAGACTAACTCTACAGAATGTTTGGATCTCATGCACTCGGACACCATAAGTTGTAAAGAAACAGCCTGGGAAGTCCAATATCCCCTACGCTATCATCTTTAAAAGTTAAAACAGCAAGAAAGCCCAGCACTGGGCAATGCATGTATTCTCTTAAGACATTTAAATTAGAATCCATAATAGAATCACAATACCATCATCCAAACAAATCCTCAACAGAAGGACAAAAAACTAATAGATACTGGTGTAGTCAAATTTCATTCATTCATACTCTTAAAAGTTATGGCTGACTACTCTGCTTCCAGTTCAGCTGGCACAGTTCTGATTGGCCGACATCCATGCCCATGTCAAGAGTAAAGGTTTCCACATCAAAGATGGGATTCAAAAGAGGTAAACATGAGCAGGAACTGACCTTGGTATGGAAACTGGATTCGTATGAACTGAAGTTTGAGGCCGAGCTGGTTTTGTTGATAAAGCCAAAGGAGATGCAACATTCTTGCTCTTTCTACATAGGCAATGAAAGCATAAGCACTTTTTTAGTAGTGGTAATAGTAGAGTTCTTGATTTGTACTCTCATGGCATTTAAACAAATACATTGCTCCTATTCTAATAACCTGATTTGAGGTTAATTTTCTCTTGCTTGAAGAAAATGAGATTGCTCCTGTGCCTTAGGGCCTTCCTCCTTATGGTTCCCTCCTTCTTTTCATGCCTTTACCTGTAAAGTAGCATTAGAATTAGTTTAAGTTTATAAGAAAACACGATTTTGGAAGTGGTATTAGTAGGGTTCTTGATATGTACTGTAATGGCATCTAAACAAATACATTGCTCTCTCCTGATTTGAGGATTTCTCTTTCTTGAAGAAAATGAGATTGAGTAAGGGGTTCCGCCTTATGCTTCCCTTCTTATTTTCATGCCTTCGCCTGTAAAGTACCATATGCAAAATCAGTTTAAGTTTCCAAGATCAAACCATCTGGTTGTATATAAAGAATATCAACAATAATATTGGAGTAACTAATACTTAGCAATTTGATAATCCTGTCTTCTAGAAGGTACAAAAGCAGCACATCAAATGATCAGTGTACAAAGCAAATAAGAAATTTCAGAAGCTCAATTGTATCAATTTTTGCAGGTTCTCTTCACGACAACTATGCCTAAATCAAACAGGGCTCAAGTGTGCTGGATTGGAGCTCCAATAACTGATTCGCTGCTGTATTTGTCTATGCCAAGAGCTTACCGAGCGAGTGATTTGGTATGATGATTTACAGGTTCCATATCAAGTGCAAAACACAGACAATGAGGACCTTATAATCAATTAGTGGAAAACCTAAGAATGGCAGTGAAACAAAAAGGGATCAATCATTGCTGTAAGGAATGGGGAACTTATAATCAATTAGTGGAAATCTCAATTAACAGTAATGGGGTTGAAATTAAAAAAAGAAATAGATTACTTCTAGGCTCTAACAAAGTGAAATGAATAATGAACCAAACATCATCACCAAACAACATAAAGAAATAGAGAGACAACTGAAGAAGGATGTATCACATGCTAAGTAAACCATGAAAGACCAAGTGCTAAACAACTCAAGACTTTCCGCACCTTAGACAGTTTTCCATTGTTACAAACTACAAAAATATATCAGAGCGAGATTATCTGAAAGTAACACCACGACAGCCACTGTAAGAATTGACTTGACACTGCATTTTCCTGCTCTTGAGTTGCCATTCCCTAAATTATTGTGCCTCCTAGCCTTTGTGAAACCCCAAACGCAGAAGCACCTGAAGATTGAAGGATAATCAAAGAAAACTAACCAATGGCCTAGCCGGAAGCAGAGTCTGCAGTTGAGGCAGTACTTCCATGTTTGCAGGGTGGTGCTGGATTCGAAGGGCTAAGAGAACAAAACGGAACCCAGTTGACCTATCTGAAGTTGGTCCTCCCCGGAGCCAATGGTGGATTCTCACTCTCGCTGTTGCTAGGATTTATGCTCCGGCGATTGGAGTCGGAAGAGAGGAGGGATAAATAAAGTTTTTTATATGAATGAGAGGAAGGCTGGATGATTGGAATGGATGGTGGTGGGAGAAAATGCACATGGCGTAGAGAGGTGGACAGATGATTTTGGATGGATGGAAATCGGGAGGGATGTGACTGTTAAGGGTAGAGTGTGGGAGATGGATTTGTCAGGGGAGGAACTCAGCCGAAAGAGGCAAGACGAAGGGGTTTTTTCTTATGACACAGAGGGAATTTTGCGTGTGGAAGCAGCCCGGAATCGTGCGGAGGTGGATTTCTGGGAAGTGATAGTCAGAGGGTACGGAAGCATGGGAGTCTGAAAGGGGAAGGGCTGGGCGTCTCGAACGGGGTGGATACAATCATCGAAGTTGGGAAGTTCTTTCCGGCCTCGTCAGAAGACGACAAATATTGAAACAGTAATAGAGAAGTTTGGGCAATAAAGTGTACCCACATTTCATATATAAAAGAATGTCGATGCATATTTATGTCGAGTTCATAATCAAAGCTTTATTGTTATGCTCAGAAGGGTAAAATGGGCATTGCTATTCGTCGCCCTAAAATACCTTATTCGTCGCCCTAACTTTTATTAAAATTACTTAAATATCCTTAGCTTAATTCTTATCTTTCAAAACCTATATAAACACTAAAACAAAGAAACAAACACATACAACTATGTTTAATAACAAAATAAAATAGCGGAAAAAATAAATTAATGAATTACAAGTTACAAATACACCAAAATAATGAAAAAAATGAAAAAATGTAAAGAACTCAGGCATGTTCGTACTCGCCGCTAGAAGCGCCGGAGATGGGTTTTCAACCCTTCCGGGCGGCTGGAAACAAAAAAAAAAGAAAAAACTCTCTGCCCGGCGAGTGCGAGGCGAGACAGAAGATGAAGGCCGAGCCGAGGAGAAAGGAGAAGTTTGAGTCTTCCTTCGCTCGTCGTTGGCGCCGAAGAAGAAGTTCGCTCGTCGTAGTCGCCGACCTCTACTTCCGTTCTCTGCCCAGCCGGCGAGGCCGATTTTGAGTCGTAGCTGCAGCCGTACTCTGCTTCCGACGTTGTCCATCATCGTTGCCGCCCGATTTACCATGGGAACGGACATGCTGCGAGGGTTGAGGTTGGTGGCGGCTGCCGGAGAGAAGAATCCACAACAACAGCGGCGAGGTTGAGATTGGCGGTGTCTGGGCAGGGTAACGGATTGTTTGATTAGGGTTTTGGTTAGAGATTGGGGTTAGAGGATAAAATTGTCAATTTGGTGCATTTTAGGGCGACAAAAATTGAATTTTAGGGCGACGAATAGCGATTCAGGGTAAAATACCCCACATACCATTTAAATTTGACAATTGGAGCATATCACTTATTAAGTTAAAGTAGCGCGTCGGGTACTACTAAACTATCAAATTTTTTCTATCAATTGGGACAGACATACCACTTAAGTTAGATATTATTCGAACTCACCACAAGCTCGTAGGGGCAGAGCCAGGATTTAAGGAGGGGACGGAAATGTTGTGTCATAATATCAAAGCAATTAATAGTTTTTGTTATTATAAAGGCACAAAATATTATTAGAAATAATCAAATCACTTTCATCTTAAGTTTATACTAGGTTATGTTTAATATAAATTAGAAAACTACGAATAAAAATAAATTATGCATCTCAATGTGTAGCATGTTTTTTTTCCCCAATATTTCATGTTTGGAAAATGACTGTCCATCATTGTAAGAAGATCGCTCATTCATTTGCCAATCGTTCTCATGTACAACACATGATCTAGTTCCTCCTAAATTATTATTGAAAATTTTAATTAAATGTATGACCAAAAGACTAGTTCCTGTTAAATTATTGTTGAAAATTTTAAAAGAGAATGTCGCCTGGCATCCTGTTCTCGAGTGAGCTGGGAAGACACACCAGCAAACTAGTGCTCGAGGGCCGAGACTCGGATCTCAAGGGTGCCCGAGGAAGAAGAGGGGTCGGCTCCGGTTGAGAATGATGGATAATTATCCACTGGGCCTGAACTAAGTCACCCTGATGTGAGATGCATAATATCAATGGTGTCTCTCATCCGGAAGGCAGATAACCTCATACAGCTACTGGGAATTAAAATTCCTAGTGTCTGCCTTCCCCGACATCGTCATGATCCCGGTATGGAGACCCAGAGCTTCAGCCAAAGTGTCCTAACCGATGGAATGATGGATTCCTCCCAACATGAACTACACAAATGGTGAGTTGCGTCGCCCCATAGGTTGCTCATGCATGAACGTGGTGTTGAACTTCAAGTACAGCTCCTGGTAAATAAGCTCGTCAATGTTGAG